TTCCCCAAAGCCCCAGTAGATAGTTGTATGTCATAACTGCACATCCCTCTAGTTGCTGTATGTGGGACGCGGCCTCAGCATGGCCAGAGAAGTGGTGCATCGGTGCGAACCCGGGATCCGAACCCGGGCCGCGAGTAGCTGAGCACGTGCACTTAACTGCTAAACCATGGGGCCGGCCCCCAAAATATTTTAAACAGTCCCCCATTGATGGACATTTAAATGTTTTGTTTTACCTGACACTAATGCAAATGTACAATCTTACCCACGTCTTTGCAAATCCATGCTGGTATATCTTTAGGATAAACTCCTGGGAAGTGGAATTGCTGGGTCTACAAACTGCGCATTTGAGATTTTGATGGATATTGCACAGATGTCTGAGTGTGTCTGTCTCCCCGGATAACAGCTAACACTGGGCATTAGGAAACCTCAGGTCCAGCCACGGCCACCACTGTGTTATGTACATACCTGCATTAGAACATGTTATGACGTTACTATAATTGATGTTTACATATCTTTTACTACACTGCTAGCTTCTTGAGGGCACAAACTAAACTTCATTTCTGTTTGCAGTCCTGGTACTTACTATTGTACCTGACACACAATAGGTACTCTGCAAATGTTTGATACATGTCGGGGGTGAATTTAAGGCCAGGAGATGTCACTGAACCAGGAGTCAGAAGAGCTGGTTCAAACCACAAGACCTGCCCCTAACCTGCCCCTTATTCTCTCTGGCCTCCATTTCCACAAAAATAAAATGCACACGTAATACTAGTTTTTTTCCTACAGTCCTCTTCAGATCCAAAATTATATGCTTCTAAAAACAAAATTAATAAAAGTTATTCATCTTTTTTTTGTGGGTGTGTGAGGAAGATCAGCCCTGAGCTAACATCCAGGCCAATCCTCCTCTTTTTTGCTGAGGAAGACTGGCCCTGGGCTAACATCTGTGCTGATCTTCCTCCACTTCATGTGGGACGCCGCCTCAGCATGGCCTGACAAGTGGTGGGTCGGTGCACACTCAGGATCCAAACCTGGGCCGCCAGCAGCGGAGCGTGCACACTTAACCGCTAAGCCATGGGGCTGGCCCAGTGTCAGTTATTTAAAAAATATTAAGGTGTCAAAGATTTTGAATATCAGTCACAGGTAAGTCAATCTTTAAAAATTTTCAGTGGTAAAAACCACAAACAACACTTTAAGCAAAGGGTGTTTGGTTCTTTTTTTTTTTTTTTTAAAGATTTTTTTATTTATTTTATTTTTTCCCCCCCCAAAGCTCCAGTGGATAGTTGTTTGTCGTAGCTGCACATCCTTCTAGTTGCTGTATGTGGGACTCGGCCTCAGGATGAACGGAGAAGT